TCCAAGAGGGCCCAAGAGCCCTCCAAGACGCCCTCCAGGGAGGCGCGAAGAGGCTAAACTCATTGATTTTCCTTAGGTTTTTTGAAGGATGTTGGCATGTTCTTCTTTTCAGCTCTCCGACGGCCGAAGACGGCCCAAGAGGCCCCCAACATCGCCCCAAGAGCGCCCAAGAGCCCTCCAAGATGGTCCCATGACGGCCCAAGAGGCCCCCAAGAAGGCCCCAAGAGGGCCCCGAGACGGCCCAAGAGGCCTCCAAGACGCCCAAGATGGCCTCCAAGACGGCCCTGAGGCGCCCCAAGAGGGCCCCAAGTGGGTTCAGAGTGGCCTCCAATACGGCTTCCGACGGCGTCAGACGGGCCAGGAAAGCCCTAAGACGGCCAAAGAGGCCCCCAAGAAGCCCCCGAAGGCCCCCAGCTGGCCCAGGAAAGCACCCCAAAACGCCATCAAGACGCCTCCAGGAAGCTCGCAAGAAACCCCAAGAGTGCCCCAAGACGCTCCTTAGAGCCTCCCACTACTCTCCATCTTCCTCTTCCTCTTCTCTTCGTGCTCATTCTCCCCCACATGATCCCCGAAGGCTTTCCAAACCGACTCGGAGAACTCATGGTCAGGTACCTTGGCCACGCTCTACCCCATCTCTCCGCCACATCGGCGTTTCCAAAGAGGCAGGTCCGCGGAGCATCAGTCCTCCTACTTCTATGCATTTATCCCCTCCCTTCGCACCGTGCCCTCCCCCCATGACACCAGGAATGCCAGCCACCAGGTTGTCCTGCGATCTTCTCCGTCATGGCAGTCAAGCCCGGGCACGATGATCGAACAGAGCACCAACTACACGTGGCGGGTAATGGGGGTACGGGCTTGCCCCTCCACAGCCCAGGCACGGTGGCCTGTAGACAACAGCCGCTCACATACAAGCATACACATACGCACACCCACATGCACGCACGCACACACCCACACACCCCTAGCACACTCACACGCCCCTCATCCACAACCACACATACCCTCACACGCACAGGTCACCACATACACACCCAGAGCACGCACACACAGGCACAATCACACACGCGCGCACTCACACCGGAGTGCCAGCCACCAGGTCCCCCTGCAAGCGATCCGCGCGTGATCCGCGCGCACATCTCGCACAACCACCTACGCGCCATCAATACGCACAGGCACAATGCACACACACGCGCACATGCACCGGACTGCCAGCCACCAGGTCCCCCTTCGGACGATCCGCCCATGATCCGCCCGCGCACCTCGCACAAACACCTACGCACACACAGACACTACACACACAACCCACAGCCAACACACTGGGAACCCACGGACTTCTCCAAGGTTCAAGGGGGGCCCCACCGTCCGAAGAATTGCCCCTCCACAGCCCATGCACGGTCGCCTGTAGACAAAAGCCACTCACATACAAGCATACACATACGCACACCCACATGCACGCACACACACCCACACACCCATAGCACACTCACACGCCCCTCATCCACAACCACACATACCCTCACACGCACAGGTCACCACATACACACCCACGAGCACGCACGCACAGGCACCATACCACACATACGCGCACTCACACCGGAGTGCCAGCCACCAGGTCCCCCTGCGGGCGATCCGCGCGTGATCCGCGCGCACATCTCGCACAACCACCTACGCCCCATCACATACACACAGGCACAATGCACACACACGCGCACATACACTGGACTGCCAGCCACCAGGTCCCCCTTCGGACGATCCGCCCATGATCCGCCCGCACACCTCGCGCAAACACCTACGCACACACAGACAATACGCACCCAACCCACAGCAAACACACTGGGAACCCACGGGTTTCTCCGAGGTTCAAAGGGGGGGCCCACCGTCCGAAGAATTGCCCCTCCACAGCCCATGCACGGTCGCCTGTAGACAAAAGCCACTCACATACAAGCATACACATACGCACACCCACATGCACGCACACACCCACACACCCATAGCACACTCACACGCCCCTCATCCACAACCACACATACCCTCACACGCACAGGTCACCACATACACACCCACGAGCACGCACGCACAGGCACCATACCACACATACGCGCACTCACACCGGAGTGCCAGCCACCAGGTCCCCCTGCGGGCGATCCGCGCGTGATCCGCGCGCACATCTCGCACAACCACCTACGCCCCATCACATACACACAGGCACAATGCACACACACGCGCACATACACCGGACTGCCAGCCACCAGGTCCCCCTTCGGACGATCCGCCCATGATCCGCCCGCACACCTCGCACAAACACCTACGCACACACAGACACTACGCACCCAACCCACAGCCAACGCACTGGGAACCCACGGACTTCTCCAAGGTTCACGAGGGGCCCCACCGTCCGAAGAATTGCCCCTTCTCCGTGCGTTGGAATGTGTCAGGCGACCCTGATCACCATGCCACGCTGTCGTTGGACTCAGCGTCTTTCTTCCCCGAGGCATCATCTTTCCTCCGTAGCCGTCTGGGCCCAGACGGTACCATGTTCTCTGGGTTGCGGAAGGTTGCTGGCGGGGCATGGCTCCTCCCTGGCTCTGCAACTGCGTTTCTCACAAGTCTGCAGCGCCGTCGCACACGCTACACGCGTTGTGCTGGCGACGACGGCCAACCCTCTCAAGTGCACAAACGACCCGCTGGCCGTGGCCGACCCAGCGCTGCCGAGCTGCATTGCTCCCGCTGTGGCCTCGACCTTCCGCGTGAGAGCTTCAGCCAGTACCAGATCTACCGACCGACTCGAGCATGCCGCACTTGCACAGCTAGTGCTCCCCAAGCGTCTGGCCAGACCCGCTCCCGCCTGGAGACCACCTGCGCCCAATGCGGCCTCACTGTGCCCAGTGACGCGCTCGCCCACCACCAACGATATGCAGGAGGAGTTTGCCGGGAGTGCGCCACGAACGGACGCCCAACTTATGACGACAAACCCATCGTAGTAGGCGACATGGCCCGCATTTGCCCGCACTGTTCAGCACGGCTCTTCCCTTGCGAGCCGTTCACATTCTGCTGCAATAACGGTAAATGGGCAGTTCCCTTCACCGACTTCTTCCCCTTGCCTTCCCCTGCTCTTCTCCGCGTGTATCAATCCACGTGGCCTGCCACCGACGCAAAAGGACATCCCATCCACGACGCCGCTACGGACACACCCCGCCTCACGGGCTTCACAGCTGTCAGCCGCCGCTATAACAATTTATTCGCTTTGGCAGTACACGAGATTCAAAGCGCCGGTCCCGCCAAGGAGCTACGGTTCGGAAACTATTTGCGCCCTTCCAACTTGCGCATACATGGCACCATGTACCGACGCCTACTCTCAGCGCAAGACTCCACCGCAGTACGGTACTTCGTCGTGGACCCTCAAGAACGCGCCCGACAGGCTGCCACACTACAGCTCGATACCAAACTACTCCGGCAGCTTGAACGTGCCATCCTGCCCATCAACCCATTCATGACCGAGATCAAGCGCCTCGGCGCGGTCAGCCGCCCGGGCCCCGACGCAGCTGTCCACCTCAAATGAGCTCGCCGCCATCGTCGACGCCAACAGCGATGGTCGAGCGGAACCACGCGCTGTGACATTCTGGCTGCGCTCCACGAGCACACCTCGATACCTGCACCCACTGCGCCCCTTCTACGAGCCGTTGTCTTATCCATTGTGGTTCCCCGGTGGAGGACGCGGCTGGAGCCCAGATGCAGTAGTCAACGACGTCCACATCAGTCAGATGTGGTGGTACCGGCAGTGCCTGCTTCGCCTCAGTCACATGCACGCGTGCGGACGACTACTCAACGAATGGCTCGTCAACATGTACTGCCGGACGGAGGACGAACGCCTCAGCTTACTTCGCCGAGAACAACCGACGATGCGAGCGTCCCAGCGTGAGCTCTGCGAGACTCTGGCCAACAATTCTGGTCAACCTGCCGCGGGCGTCCGGGTGGTTCTCCCTGGAGGGCCGCTGACCTAGATTTCTAGGTCAGGCCGAACTGTCCTAAAACATCTTAGGTCAATCTAATATGTTTTAGGTGGAACCTAATATTCTAGGTCGGCGCACCTGCGCATTCGATCCGACCGCTTGGGCGATCGGGTTGATGCTATTTCCGTGCAAATACATGCGCACCTAGACATACAGATGCACATACATAAACATGTGCACTCGCATTTACACTTACAGTTATGGTTACATGTACTTAGACCTGTTACAACTTGCGGTTTGCAAGCACAGTAATAGCTGGACGACACTTACATGCACTGTTACATTTACATGTACATGTACGCATCGATGCGCGCGTGCATACTCATTTATTGTGCATACACATACACATTTACATATACGTTTACAAATGCATAAAGCACGGAACACAAATAACCATACCGATATACGCACACACGCGTATGTATGTTCATAGCGTGGCATGGTGCGGCATTGCATAGCCTAGCATTGCATTGGGGGTACCTCGCGCGCCTTGGGCCCGATCCCAGAAACATTCGGGTCGGAGGATTGCTCGCAAGCCACGTTGCCCGAAGGGCCAGCGAGTGCCTTGGGCCCGATCGCAAAGGCGTTCGGGTCGGATGACAACCCATGCGTCGTATGGCCCGATTCGTGTCAGCAAAAAGATCTCACGTGCTGTCGGCCACGCGCCGCGCGGATTGGTCGTTCAAGCTGTCGGTTCGGGGAATGCGTCTAGCGTCGCATTGCACCACATTGCGTAGCATTGCGTTGCATTGCGTTGCATAGCACTGCACAGCTTGACACCGCTAGGTTAAGCATAGGATTGCTACGCATGGCTTCGCATCCTCAGCGTGCTGTTCCGTCGTCTCAGTGTTCCTCTGATGGAACTGCCTTCGGTCCTTTCCCTGATTAGGCTTGCCGCACTCCGTACTTAGCCGTCTGGCTGCTCGGGAGAACGCGTGCATCTTTGCAGATATCCGAAGACTGCAGACTACACTTCAACTGGTCCACGAGATGGCACCGAAGGGAGTGAAGGGAGTGCAGGGCAAGTTCGCCAAGGCCAAGGCCAAGGCGGCGATGAATAAGAAGCCTGCGGCAGCACCACCGATTCGCCAGAGGCCTTCGGCAGCGGACGTCAGCGAGTTGGAGGGTCCCGTGCCCACCCCTGCCGACAGGCGGAAGTTCATGCAGATCGTGAAAGCAGGAGGTGCCCACCAAGCGATCTTGGACGACATCAGGAACATCCAGGATCTCGGATACGGCAAGAACAAAATGTCCAGACTGAACAAAAAGATCAGCGCGTGGGTCGAGCAGGGCTTCGACCATCCCACCTTCCAGGACACCATCCAGTACAGTGAGAGCAAGAAGAGGGCGGAGCGTAACAAGGCGATGCCCTGGAGCATCTTGAAGGCGAAGCTGTTCCACAACTGCGAGGAGGCAGCCATCGCGGCGCTCGAGGAGGGCGACGTGGTGGCCGTCACCAACCCGAAGGACCCTGACGGCAAGCCCTGGTACAGGTACGACGACATCATCGTGGAGCACGGCAAGGACATGCGCCGCTCCCGCGGCTTGACGGTAGCAGGCAACGTGTCTGGCGACGTATCGGGGTTCCTGCTCAATATGGAGAGCTTCTTCGAGAGCATCGAGGACGGCTACGACCTGAGCATCGCTGACCCACACGTCTCGAAGAAGACCGCCGCCATCACCGACTGCTTGCCTGGCGCCGACGACGACCCAATGACCACAGCGCTCAAGAAGGTGAAGATCGCATCGGGCAACCTGTCGAAGCTCCGCCTCAAGGTCCTCGAGTGCACGGGCAGCACGCACGGCAGCAAGCACGACGCATTCGTCAAGGCGCACTTGAGCGACAAGGAGTCTGTGATTCAGGCTCGGCGGCAAAACAGACTGCAGCTTAGAAGCAGCCATACTATTACGCATACAGCATACACATTTGCATACATAAGCTCACATGTATTCGAATATGGTTATCTATACACAGCTACACGTGCACATTTGTGAGACACCACACAGAATAAAACACAATAACACAACATGGCTATGCAAACCAATTGCCCCCCCCCAGCCCGCCCCCCCCCAAAAAAACGGGAGTACCGGTACAATCCTCCAAATTAATCTGCCCGAGGGGGTGGAAGGGGGGTCGGAGGGAGGGGAGGGGGAGGAGGAAAGGACACGGGGAGGGGGAGGGGGAGGGAGGGGGAGGGGGGAGGACGGGGGACAGGAGCGCCCCCCCTGGAGGCAATCCTGGCGAAGTACGACACCCTCCTGCGCACCAAGTCCCTTCCAGGGGCCACATCGGCCACGACGCCTGCCCTGATCAAGCAGGCCATCGCGATCGACAGCAAACTGTGCCAGCAGATCGCGAGTGCGATCCAGGTGGCCAAGACGATGGAGGAGTAGGCTATTTGGGGATGGCGGCTCTTTCTCGTTCGACCGACGTGCCAGTCGAAACTGAGCGCGATCCGACGATCCCAGGGTTCGAACTTCGATGATCCAAGGGGTCGAACTTCGACGATCCCAGGGTTCGAACTTCGACGATCCCAGGGTTCGAACTTCGACGATCCCAGAGTTCGAACTTCAACGATCCCACCCAGGGTTCGCATTTCGACGATCCTAAGAGTCGAACTGCGACGATTCCAAGGTTCGGACTTCGACGATCTGATTTAAATGCGTCGGGCCTCGCAGCTCGGCGCCCTCCGTGTGCGCATGGATACTTGCGCAATACCCTTCGCTGCACCGCAGTGCCACCTGTAGAAATCGAGCTAAAGAAGGGCGACGAAGAGGAGGGAGGAGAGACGTTCCAAACGGGCCATGGGCCATGGATGAAAGGAAGGAGTTGGGAGGAGGAGGAGAAGGAGGAGGAGGAGTTCACGTGATCCAAGGGTGGAAGGAATGGAAGGAAGGATGAGAATGAGGAGGATGTCACAAGCTTGGGTTTAGGATGGGAGGAGGCGGGAGAAGTAGGAGGAGGAGGAAGAGGAGGAGGAGGAGGTCACATGATGTGAATGTTCTAAGATTAGAACACGTTGCTTGCGGGGTCGGCCCCTCGGAGTTGTATTATTTTGATTGCAGGCCACCAAAAAGAAGAGTGAATTCCTCTTCTTGGTGACCTGCAATCACGTCTGATGGTCACGTCTATTGCTTAGGGGCGTCTGATGGTCACGTCTATTGCTTAGGGGCGTCTGGTGACATCAAATCTGGAATCACGGTTCCCTGGGGCGTCTGATGGTCACGTCTATTGCTCAGCAACCTTTCCGACTCCAAATCTGAATCCTCATCCTACTCCTCATTGCCGCCCACCTCGTCGCCCTGGATGGTTTCGAGGGCCCTCAGTGGTTAATTTCACGTCCCCACCCTCGTAGAGTTCTTTGAAGGCCCGCAAGAGTTCTTCGGAGGCCCGCAAGAGCCCATGAGGCGAACAAACATCTATTACACTATCCTCCTCCTCCTCCGCTCGGTAGCCATTTGGGCTCGAGAATGGATTCGGGCAGTTGGCTCGACGCCCTCGAAGGCCATGCGAGTCGAAAGAAATGCAGAGTCACCCCGCCAACCCAAGCACGGTCCGCTCTAGGCGAGAGTTTGTTGGTTGAGTTCGGCCACGGGCACATTTCGGCATCGCAGGTCCAGAGGTTTGCGAGACTCGCATGCGACGACATTCAGCGATCGGGGGGTGCTCCAAATGCGATGTTGGGCAAACTAGCTTCGCTGGGCACGCACGGGAAGTGGTCGGGCCACGCCCGACAAGAGTTGCTGAGATACATTGCCAAACTTATCCCAGACATGCTCGAGCCGACGACGTTCGCGGTGCCGCTCCTCGTAACGAAAGGCCCCAATAAAGGAGAGCACGAGATTGATACCGCCATCGTGGAGCCACACAGGTGGATGAATTTCCTATACACACGGTTCCCAGACGAGTTCGAAAGAGTCATCAGGGGACCATCTAGAGCATTGGAGAAATTCTGGGATAGCTTTCGCATCGACGACCCTCGACGCGCACACATGCCCGCCTTAGCCCGTCACGATTTGCGCACTAGAGGGATCCCAGTTTGTTTGTATGGTGATGGTGTTCCATGCGTGAAGGGGCAGACGTTCGTGGCCACAGCCTGGGAATCACTCACTGCAATTGAGAACGTCTCGGCCACCGACAACATTCATTACATCGGCGGCTACTACAGCCACACCGAGGTCGTTCAACGCGCGAATGCTGGGGCAAGCACAAAGGAACGTTTGTGGCAACCTATCATATTATCACTCCTGGCGGCCGAATCTGGAGTGTTCCCAGACGCAGATTTGGAGAACGCTGGTGAACAGATTGCTGGTGGCTACTTCTTAGTTGTGGTTGGGATCAAAAGCGATTACGAATATGTTTCAAATTATCTAAACGTGCCAGGCCATTGGGGTGCAGCTCATCCGTGTAAGGACTGTGAATGCACCCTGGCGGAGGGCCCACTGAACTTTCGAAATGTATTGCCTGGGGCCCCTTGGAAAGCGACGAGGTTCAGCATTAGGCCCGTTGGGGCATGGCGCAATCATTGCAGGACAGTTGGAAAGAAACCAATACCAATATTTGCCGAGCGTGATCGTGGAGGTCTTGGCCTGACAAACATGTTTATATTCCTGGATGTTCTTCATTGCCTAGATCTGGGGATATCGGCGCACATATGCGGGAACGTGCTGTGGCATCTGGTATTTGCAGATATTATCGGCGGCGGCAACGCCCACAATAAGATGTCAAGGGTTGCAGATTACATTTACGAAACGTACCGCAACGAACAAACGCCATCGCAGTTCACCAAAATAGATTTTGGAGATTTCTGTGACCCATCCAAGCCAAACTCAAACTTCCCGATTCTTGGCGGGAAAGCTGGCCAGATACGCCATCTGCCCCCCATCCTCAGTAAGTTGTGGCATTCGGTTGCGAGGCCAGGCAATTCATATGAGCAGCACGTTGCCAGAGTCCTGGCCAACATGACAACAGTGTACGAGTGCATACCATCTAAAGATACAGATGGCGACCACTGGTTTGTGTATCCAATGCCGATCGTTGAAAGAATCCAGGATGGTTTTGACAAAATGTTGTTGCACTATGCTTATTTGTGCAAGAACAGCTCAGATGCTGACCCGCCGCGCATGCTGTGGAACATGCCGACTAAATTTCATCACAGTTGGCATTGCGGTGACCAGGCCAAATGGCAGTCGCTGCGTGTGATGTGGTGTTATAACAATGAGGATTTCATGGGCCTTGTGCAAGGTCTGGGCGAATCAAATCGCCATGGCCTCATTGCCGCGAAACGGCCGGTCGGCATCGCGCAGAATTATATCGCTGGCAGGTCACTGCGCGTGCACTTTGATTCCCTCGGCCGTTTGCCGAGCAGCGCTGGAACAAACGCCCCGAGCACAAGGAGAGGTGGGAGGGGAGGGCAGGAGAGGGAGGGGAGGAACGGGAGCGAGAGCTGCGTGCGACGATTTTCTGCGCATTTCTGGTGCCGCGCAGAGGCCGCATATTTTGACAAAACAGGTGCTAGATTTAACAAAACATGTTTTGATACGAAAACACGTTTTAACAAAACAGGTGCATGGTTTAACAAATCCTGGTTTGGACTGAAAGCAGATTTTAACAAAAGATGTGCACGTTTTAATAAAACGTACGGTTGCAAAAACACTGGTTTTATCAAATCCGACAGTCTAGAAAACACGTTTTAACAATTCCTGCAGCCTAAAAGCACGTTTTACTAAAATATGCATGGTGCTAGGCCTCAGAACCAGCATAATTTGATAAAATATGTAATATGTCGCTCACCTAGCACGAACTCGTTTTATCAAAACCAGCACCTGTTTTAACAATACAAGATTTCCTGGGATCGTTAGTGTTATCAAAATCTGCACCTGTTTTAACAATGCGTGGTTTCCTGGGCCCGTCTGTTTTATCAAAATCTGCACCTGTTTTGACAAAATCTGCGGGTTGTGGTCGAGCTCGATTCTGAGGTCGCTGGGGCCGTGGCCTCGGAGCGCTGTCGGGCTGCCAGCCCGCGCAGCGGCGTCGGCCGACTGGGCGAGGACGATGGCGAGGAGGAAGGGTTGCGTGGGAGAGGAGGGCTGGTCATGGGAGGTGGAGGGGGGGGAGAAGGAGGACGAGGAGGAGGAGGGGGGGGAGGGGGGAAGGGCAGGGGGAGGAGGGGGATCAATTCGATCCCACGTTGTCCTTAAAGGCTCAGTGGGACCCCCACGGGGAAGGCCCCAACGATGCCCTCGTCGCCACAGTTGAGCTCAAACGTGAAGGGTCAAGCTTGGGGCTCAATATTAGAGGGTCCACGTTTAGGGCTCACTGTTTGGCTGTTTCAAGTTTGGCGCAAATTGGGCGGCCCGCGCCCGCCCTCAAGTAATATCGAGAATCTGTGCGCTTTGACAGTGTCTGACATGTGGGCGGGCGTCGCAGGCGCGCAGTCCGTTTTCGTTTTTTTTTCGCGTGGCCCTAGCAGGGCGTGCGGCCGCAGGAAAAACACCCCATCCCATTTGATGCGTCTCTGCTGCTAAGGTCCCTTTGGAAAGCCACTGGGCCAAATTGCCCATGGTCCGTTTGGGCCGTGTCTAGGACCAGCTCTGTTGGGGGTGATAACGCCCCTGGTACATCTGGCCCATGGTCTGCTTGGAACGCCTCTGGGCCAACTGGCCCATGGTCCGTTGGAACGTGGCAGTTTGCTTCCACCCCCTTTGGGGGTGACGACGCTCTGTTCCCGCGGGGGTAGCTTGGTCTGGGGAATTGGCAACAGCCAAGATCAGCAGCAGGATATAGGCGTCAACTTTACAGAGCCCCAAAACATTACCCATCGCTGACTTGCGGGGGAGGGCCCAGAAGGGCCCCGACTTGGCCCAGACAGTGTCGGGGAACTTGCTTGTCTATATATATATATATATATGTGTGCGAAGAAATGCCCCACCGAGAAACAACGTAATATTGATGCCCAGGGACGGGAAACGCACAACCCCACCCCTGACAGAACCCCGCCCTAAGGATCCTGGGCGGGTGGTGGGGGTGTCCTGGAGCACATCCTTCTCCTCATCATCATCCCCCCCTCCCCCCCCCCCCTCATCCCTCCACCTCGGGGCGGCCCTGGGGCAGCGGCGCCGACGACGGCGCCGACGACGACGAGGGGTTTCAAGATGGCCCCGCGAGAGGGTCCTTCGATGCGTCACTTTTGGACGCCCGTGAAATTGCCAGAAGATACAGAAGGGGGGCTCCAAGAGGACTCCAAGAGGAGCGCAACCATGCCACAAGAGGACCCCAAGACGCACGTAGTTGGGTACCCCGTTGGAGCACTGCAGAAGCATGGCAGTGCATGCGCGGCGGTGCTCTCTTGGGGCCCTGATGGCTCCCCAGAAAAGCTCCAAGACGGCCCAAAAGGGGCCGCGCAACGGCCCCAAGAAGGCACCGAGAGGACCCGAGAGACCCACGTACTTGGGTACCC